GATATATGTATTTCCGACGTTGTCGTTTTGTAAATGTTATTTTCTTTTCATTAATGTAATGAGATATTTTTAAAATATGGTCAGTATAATCTTGAGACTTTACCAAGTTTGTTAATTAAAAAACCCATATGATATTTTGATATGTTCTATCCCAATCCGAAAAATGTACGGACGGAGCTGGCTTGAAAATCTTAGTAGAACTAATGCCTAATGGAGTAATTAATGGGTAATGGCATATGATCTTAGAAATAGGGAATTGGATGGTTTGGGGTCGTACAGATACAGTAAAGAAGTAATTCCTAGTTTCATGCCCACAAATAATTTAGCATGTCATCGATCTTCTTAGGTCCAAAGAGATTATTGACTTAACATTCAAAATTTCTTTGGTTGATTAACAAAGAAAGAAACATCATCTTCTTCTTTCTTCTGTGGTATACGTACACATACATATAGAGACTGATCAATACTGATCTTAATTTGAAATTTAGATACGTTGACAATAGCCTTCAAAATGTTCCCCAAGACAAACGTAAAGTAAGATCGCTTCAAAAGATTTCAAACAAAAGTACAGTTTTTATTTTTAGAAAACTAGTTTGAAACTGAACGACCTTTGTTAAACTTTCCCTTTCAATAGGTACTTGATCCAAACTCAAGTTCTAGATATGTGTGTCAATGTACCTTTGGGGTTTTGCAAAAATATTTTAATTGATGCTATTTTCAGTAGATTAATAGGCCTTTATCTTTATTTTGACTTATTTCTAAACTCCACACGTACGAGATGATACACACATACACATTCATAATTTAATAACTATTACTAATAGGGATTTACCTAGAAAACACGACTTATGTCGTCTTGTGAATCTATGCATGATTCCTTTGTCATTGTCAAACACTATATAAGATTATCTAATTATAAGTGTCATTAACTGTACGTGAGAAGATGTCGTAGGTTTCATAATGTTTAACAAAAAACAGAAACAGAGTAATGAATGAAGAGAAATCCTGTTTTTGCGGGATCAAAAGAAACAACAAAATGTCAGGATATTGAAACTTCAACAGAATCCAAGAGACAGTAGATTTTACTTGTTCATAAGGAAGGAGGAAATGAATGCAGCCTACCTAATCATATATAGTTCCAATAATTTGTAGTAAGAAGAGACCACCAATATTACATAGAGAGAGAGGTAAGCTCCAAGAGAAGAAGAAGAGACCAAGATTACCCCAATTTTTATTTTTATTTATTTTTAATCCCTTTTAACTCTGCTTGGACTTGGGTCACTAACCGAAACCCAGAGTAATGTTTTTTACTAATTCTCAACAACAACAATGGACAAAGAGAAAAAAAGAAAAGAAAAAGATGAGAGCTAGATTCGATTATGGACTAAACTTTTGACATTTTGGACCCATATTGATCTGCAGGCCTCAACTCTACCTAGGCCCAAAAACTCTAGCTATCTTACGTGGCAGATTAAGATCCAACGTGTAAATAGTTAGTCATACGTGTTTGTTTCTCATTCGTAAGGTTTCGGAAACTTAAAAACTACTTAAACCATATTCCACGTGGATCATATTGATTGGATAGAACAACGTGTTGTTACTAGTTACACTTCTTGAAACATGCAAATCAAAATCGGAAAAAAAGGTTTCGAATTCGATCCGAAGAAACACACAAATTCGCGTCGAGCTTGCTTCAATCGAAGATACTTCTTCTTCATTCGTCTCTCTGATTCATATTTGTGTGTGTTGTGACCTTTGGGCCGTATACAGACGTGTAGGTTTATATGTATTGAAGTTCGAGTATGGATCTGTTCCGAGTTTCGTCAGGGATGGATTTCTTAGCTTGGAGAGGAATGGCCTATACTCTTCTTCTTCTCAACTTTGTTTTTGCTTGCCAACTTCTTTTCCTTCAGCCTCTCGTTTCCGCTTTAGGTACCTTTTTTTTCCAATTTTCACCTCGTTTACATGGTGAACATTTGATCTTTGTTGTTTAAGTTTAGCTGATTTTGGAATCTTAAAGTTTAGAAATTTGCAGCATATGGCGAATTGTTTCTCTTAATTTCGGAAATTTGGTATTTTTGGTGTTGGGTTTGTTCCAATCACTGGCGCTCTGTGGATTATAGAGGCTCCCCTGTTTTGCTTGCTCCATTTTGAATTGATCAAATTCGGAAACTAGGTTATGAGAGTGAAGAAAGAAGGCATTTTGGTATAGGTCTTTGAGATTTTTAAATATATTTACTTATGTGTATCATTGCTGGTTATTTTTGTATAGATGGTCAATCAGTTGATGCTGCTGAGTTATTTGAGAGGGCTTCACAAAGTATCAAGGTTAAGCGTTACAGCGATGCCCTCGATGATCTGAATGCAGCCATCGAAGCAGACCCTGCTCTTTCTGAAGCTTATTTTAAGCGTGCCTCTGTGCTTCGTCATTTTTGCAGGTATGTAAATTTGCAAAAGGTCCTAATTGGTTTGGATTAGTTTTCATTTGAAAAAATTAGAAAGATATGGCTCTGACTTTGATTGCTCTTTTCTTGTGTTATAGATACGAAGACTCGGAAAATAATTACCAGAAATATCTAGAATTTAAGTCAGGAGATTCAAATGCTGAGAAAGAGCTCTCGCAGCTTCATCAAGCTAAGAGTGCTTTGGAGACTGCCTCAACTCTGTACGAATCAAAGGACGTTGCCAAAGCTCTTGAATTTGTTGATAAAGTTGTTCTTGTCTTCTCCCCAGCTTGCTCTAAGGTTCTCTTCTTGATGATTTTTGCTATATTTTTTACTTCTCTCTGATCATGCAGTTTCTTATTGTTTACAATGTTTTTTATTTCAGGCAAAGCTTCTCAAAGTCAAGCTCCTTATGGTGTCTAAAGACTACTCTGCTACAATTTCCGAGACTGGTTTTATTCTCAAGGAAGATGAAAATAATCTTGAGGCTTTACTCCTTCGTGGACGTGCCTACTACTATTTAGCAGATCATGACATTGCCCAAAGGTTTGTTCTAACTTCAACCCAATTTTCATTCAGAGAGAGTTTGGATTCAAAACTGAAATACTTGATTAAACTCTCTGTTTCAGGCATTACCAAAAAGGGCTTCGTCTTGATCCGGAACACAGTGAACTGAAAAAAGCATACTTCGGACTGAAAAAACTGATCAAGAAAACAAAAAGTGTGAGTCCTTCAAACCATTTTGTCTTCCCTTAACACTGAGCTTTAGCTGCCAATTCTGTGTTGAAAACTTGTGTTCTACTGTAGGCAGAAGATAATGCAAACAAAGGAAAGTTGCGAGTTTCAGCAGAGGATTATAAAGAAGCTATTGCTCTGGACCCTGAACACACGGCACATAATGTGCATCTCTATCTTGGATTATGCAAGGTCTCAGTCAGGCTCGGCCGTGGAAAAGACGGCTTAAATAGCTGTAATGAAGCACTTAACATCGATGGAGAACTGATTGAAGCTTTACATCAGGTTGAAATCATTTAAGTATTGAATCAAAACATTCACACCTTTTATCAAACAAACAGGTTTCTGATAAGTACTTCATCAGAGGGGAGAAGCTAAACTGTTGCTTGAAGATTGGGAAGGAGCTGTGGAGGACTTGAAGCAAGCCGCCCAAAACTCTCAGGTTGGGTAAAGATAAATTTGTTTATCGTCAGTGTTTCTGATACTCTTTTTCTGATATTCTTTTAATGTTACTAAACACATACCTATAACTATACCAGGACATGGAAATTCATGAAGCACTTGGTAGAGCAGAGAAAGCACTGAAGATGAGCAAACGAAAAGATTGGTATAAGATTCTTGGAATCTCCAAAACTGCTTCTATAGCTGAAATTAAACGAGCCTACAAGAAGCTTGCATTACAGTGGCATCCAGATAAAAACGTAGACAATAGAGAAGAAGCTGAGGACAAGTTTCGAGAAATCGCTGCAGCGTATGAGGTGGGACAAAATGCACAGCACAACCCCCTTTCATACTCACTCACACATATTTGTTACTGGGCTTCACTCATATTATGTATATCTAATCTGTGAATCGACCAGGTTCTTGGAGATGACGACAAGCGGGCGAGATTTGACAGAGGAGAGGATCTTGAAGATATGAGCGGAGGTGGCGGCGGTGGAGGATTCAATCCGTTTCATGGTGGTGGTGGTGGACAACAGTACTCTTTCCATTTTGAGGGCGGTTTTCCCGGTGGTGGTGGAGGTTTTGGCGGTTTCGGTTTCTAACTTGGACATGAAAGTATCATGTAACTTCAGGATGAACTTTTTTTTTTTTTTTTTATATATACTCAAAAACACATTTTCCTTTCTTTCATTAAAAAAGTTTTGTGCAATCGTAATGTTGTCTCGTATTAAATCAAGACAGTAACACAATCTATATCACAATCCCAGAACACAAAACAAATTTAATTAAAGCTCTAGTTTTTATCCGTAAATATTCAATGTGGAGACTGAGAGAGTTCTTCCAAATCCCAGAACCAATCTCCACACCAAATCTTCCTTTGGATTCCAAGAAAGACTGATGGGGCAACCGAACAACGACATTACGCAACAAAACGTTCGTCGCTGGATAATGTCGTGCAAATGTCACTTCAGTTTTTTATTTATTTTTATTTTAACAATAACTCCATAAAAAAGCCGTAATAGAAAATGGAGAAAGTGTGTAAGGGTATGATAATGTATCCTTCGTGAATAACATGTATTTATAGTATTTTGAAATGAGACTACGATTAGGGTAAGTTTTAAGGTATATTCGTAAGTATAATTTAAAATATTGCATAAGTAAGCAAGTAAATAATCTTTACCGTTTAGATTGTTTTGGTTAGGATAAATAATTATGGATAGTTAATTAGATTTCTGAACTGTAATGAATCAAATCACCAATAATTATGATAATTAGAATATTTTAAAACATTGAGATCTTTTTTTTAATAAATGTTACGTCAATAAATTATATTTTCTTAATTCTTGTTTCCTAAAATATTGTTATATTTATGTTCCCAGAGACTTTCAAAGGGGTATCCTCAAGAGGGTACCTTTCCTTTCCTCTCATTCATGTTTAATGCTTTTTGTTTGTAGACAAAAAAAATATAAACTTTATTGTTTTTACAGCGTCGCCTTCATGTGTATGTCGGGAGAAGATGTCGAAGAAAAGGCATTGCAACTTAGTGGAACTGATGTGGGAGGATGGACTGTTATCGTTAAGCCTGCACCCTTGCAGAAAGAACTCAGGGATCCTCAGCAAACCAGGAAGGCAACCAAACCACATCGGTAAATTTTCTCAATTTTTTTGTCATGTTAATAACATTTCTCTCCTTGAATCAATATTATTATTTATTTAGGGTCCGCGTTACGGGATATGATACTTCCCTTCCTGAGATTGATATCCAGATGGCGCTGTGTAATCATTTCTCTTCATGTGGAGAGGTCACGCAAGTTCTGGTTCTCCCTAGGTTTGTGGCTTCTTTCTTCCTCCTCTTTTTTGTTTTTCCCAAGCTCTCAAGTTATTGAATTCCAACTAACTATGTCTCTGTCTCTGTTGAATTTTGCAGCGGTTCAGCTTCCGTTTTTTTTCAAGGAGAGAAATATCTAGTCAAGGCGCTTAAACTAACTGGAAGTAACATGGGAGGAATGAATCTTGTAGTTGAACCTAATTTGCCTCGACCGGAAGACATAATAATAAAAAGACAGCGCCTCAGCACTAGTACTGGCTATACGCCAAGAAGTACATCATTTTTCTCTTGCTTCGTAGATTCTTGATTCTTGCTAACAAAATTAAAACCTGCTCTCATCAGTTTCGTTGTTTATACTTTACTTTTAGGTATTTTAATCGATGTGGCTGAGGAAAAGAAGAAGAAGATGCAGATGGATATGGAGATGGAGATGGATGAGAAGAAGAAGAAGAAGATGAAAACGGAGGTGATTAAGGTGGAGAAAGAGATTAAGAAGTACATGGAGAGGAGTATATAGACAGGAAAAAGAGGATGGAGATGGCTCCCTCTTAAGTACTGTAAGCTCAACAATCATCTTGTGCCTTCATCGTCACTCATGCGATGCCGTGTATATGTTATCTGCTTTCGCTAGTACAATGCAACCTTTTTCTTTTCTAATTTTTATTGTTTCGGTTTTTCCTTGAGATCACATTATCTATATATGTTATCAAAAGAAAGACAAACAAAAAAAACATCTTTAATTATGCAACATGTAATTAAAGAATATGTGTGTGTATTTGAAGATTCTAACACCGTTATTACTCCATCTAAGTTTAAAGAGTTGATATGGTAACTTTGGATGAAACAAAAGCAAAGGAATGGTGAAGAAGAGGGAGGAGATAGAAATTAAACAGAGCCGGACACTTGAGTTCTGCAAACCTCATCTCGAGGGTAGTTTCGGTTTCTAACTTGGACATGAAGGAATCATGTAACCTAAGACGAAAACTTTTCAAAACTTTATATACTCCAAAATACATTTACCTTTCTTTCATCAAAAAAATTAAGTTTTAAGCAATCGTAATTAATGTGATATCATTTTAAATCAAAACAGTAACACATAATAATACAATCTATAACATAAATCCCAAATTTAAAGCTCTCGTTGTTATTCTTGAAATTTCCAATGTGGAGACTCGAGAAAACCGCTCTCACTCTCTCGAGTTATATCCACAAAGAAGAAGAAGCAGCAATGGCTGCCACAGTAGCGATTATGACCCCAAACCCGAATCCAATTCTCTCTGCATCAGATGAATCAGTAGCATCTCCTCCATCGTCGCCACCGGAAGCTGAACCTTTCGAAACAGGGCCACCTTTCTCAGGCGCCGGAGCAGGAGCCGCGCTTGACCCGAACATTGCTAGTGGCAGCAAAACTTGATCGACTTGATAAACGGCGAGCTGCTTATCGCTATAGACTGAGTTAGCCACGGTGGCGCTCACAACTCCTGTGGTGATGTTGACTTGGTTGCCGGAGCTAGTGATGTTAAGAGGAAACTTACCGTTTTGGCCATCACCAGCTTGCGTGCGTAAGGGGTTACTAACGGTTTGAAACTGAGGCATGGTCAAGAGCGTGGGAAGGACATGGAACTGAACAAGCTGAACTTTTTGCTGGTCGGACAACGAGTTTAAGGTTCCGGATTTGAGGCTGTTGAAGGCATTGTCCGTAGGGGCAAACACGGTTAGGCCATTGCTGGAGGAAGAATTGAGCTGAGTGTTGATTTGGTCCGAGGCTTGGGTGCTTTTGAGGAGCCTTATGAACAATGTGAACTGACCAGCTTTTTCTAGGATTGCAGTTATGTTGGTTGGACCTGAAGGGGTTGGAGCAGGAGCCTGACCATTGGTAGTAGCCATAACGAGGAAGAAGATAAAGAGATTGGAGGAGATGAGTGTTCTTGAAGTAGCCATTGTTGTGTGTGTGTGTGTTCGTTGAGAGGTTTTGGGGTTTGTTATATATATATAGAGAGAGATGTAGTTTGGTGAAGAGTAGGATTCTCTTACTAGTGTGAAGATTATTACTTGGTAACTAAATGAGATTCTATCAACTTAGTCACTAGAGATTGGAAGAAGTGTTTGGTTTTGAGGTTAATAAAAAAGTTTGTTTACATTGAGAAAAAGAGAGAGAGAGAGAGAGGAGATAGATTGCTTCGAAGGGAGAGGTTGGGTGGGTGAGGATTGAAAATGAAGAATGAACTGAAAAAGGGATATTGTGATCTGTCAAAAAGCTGTGAAGAAGTGTTATCCAAGATATATGGGATTGCAAATCATACTGCTCATTATGATGTATGTGTCATGTGTGCCCCTTTCACAAATATGTAATGTTATAAAAAAAAATACAAAGAAACTCCAAAACAAAAAATAAATGATGTAAGAAGACAATATTGTATTGTAACATTTTTGCTAATCTTGATATTTCTAGATGTAAAAATCGTTAGCATATTTTTAACTGGGAAAAAAAAAATCTACAGTTATTGTTAGGCTGTTAGCAATGCTAAATACAATAGTGACGTCATATAATGAAATTATTATTCTTAATAAACCAAGTCAATAATTTTTGTTTTGCTTCTTACACAACAAAATAACCAAATCTGCGCTAACATGTAACATAGACATACAAATTGATTATAGCTAAACCGAAGACCCAACTCTGATGGTTCAATTAACCAGAAAAACATCGGTTAATCTAAAACCGATCCAACCCTTTAGGGACTCTAGCTTCACTGAAGATTACTCTGTTGTCTGAGACACTGGTCAACTCACTTAAGTCCTTGCTGGCTCAGCTGACTGGTGGGCATTGCTTATCCTCCATTTCATATACTCGTTAATAGCCGTCGTGCCGGTCATGGTGAGTCCGAATCCGATCATAGTGGCTAAGACGATGCACATAACCGGCTGCTTAACCTGCAAACAAGTTAATGTGAGAGTGTGTGAGTGCTCAACCAAGAACCAGAGCCTCTACAAAGTATGGTTTCTCTGAGACATCACATAAAATCTTACAACTGAGTAGAAGAGGTGAGCAAAAAGGACCACCAAACAGAACTGAATGGTTGCGTAGATCCACACATAGTTCTTCTTCACTGTTACAAATCATATCACTTACGATTGATGATCGACTTAGCATAACGAGGAAAATATATTTTCAGAGGAGTTTGTATTACCCATTGTTGTTGATGTCATCGATGCAAGAAGACCGATAATGCAAGAGAACGGTAAGGCTATCGCTACTGCGCTAGATTTCATTTCCACAACCAGAAGCTGCTCGAGGAAACAAAAGTATGCAAGCATGCTTACAATGACAAGAATTGGAACTTCTTGCCACTCATTATTGAACCGTGAAATCTCGATATCCCCGGCTGCTCTAGAACGGTCTTGAGAATCCTGTACACGGAGAAGGGTCACCGGGAGATTTTTCACCTCTTGCTTACACACATCACATGTTATGTTCCCTTTAATTGTGAACCATTTAATCGTGCATGTCTTATGGGCAAGAGCTAATTCCCCTTTGCACATACATTCCATCTTAAAAGCTTCTGAATCTTCCTCCATTTCTACCATACAGATTCTACATACAGCTTCCTCTTCAGAAACATCTTCCCCGCCATCATTATTTTCATCTGAACACAAATCACTAAATATAAGGTGGGTTTGTCAAGAATATGGCGCCACAAAGATATGTTTGGGAGGTGATTCTAACCATTGAGTTTACTTATTTTCGATGCCGGCATCATCTCTAGAATCTTCTCATCCCCCCGAGATGGAGTAGGAATCACGCGGAAAACACCTAATGGCTTTACACTTCCATCTTTGTTGAAGAATGTTGGGACAGAGCGTGAACGACGAATAGGAAGTGAGTGCTCCCCTTTCTAACATAAAGAACAGTAGAACTAAGTAAAGCAGAAGATAAACCGCTTGTTATGACAAATGGAAAATGAATCAATCCATCAACTGAAATATTCCACAATATTGGTACAACCAAGTTTTTGCAAGAGAGAATACTGACCATGGATGTAACCGGATCAACCTCAACAGCATACCTCCCGTGCATGGACTCAGGGTTTGAGTGAGCTATAGGGGTTACCGGTAAAGACTCTGTCTTCCTAGATTTTCTAGGAGCTAAGAGATTGGAGAGAGACCATGTTCTTGGAATATAGGACTTATCCCTACCATCTCCTGAAGGGGACACAGACGCCATACCTGCCTCAATATCTGCATTGTTGTTCCTGTTTTTAGAGTTTAGGAGACTCTTCTGACTTGTTCTGCTTCTTGAAGAGGAAGGACTTATGGATCCAACACGTCTTCCAATTCTAGGGCTTGACATTGGAGAAAACTTGAACCTTTTGGAAACAGGGCTATGGATTAAGGAACCATTTGCTCTCAGGAAATCACCATGAGCGTCTTCGTATGCTCTCGGTGGTATATCTACCTCAAGAACTCGCCTTCTTCGGTGTTGGCTCGCTGAAATCTCTTCTGTTATCTCAGCACAATCTCCAACCTGGAAAACTCAAAAGAAGATTTTTTTTTGGTATCAGTTCCTCACAAAGTTCGATCCTTTACAAATAATGCTCCTTGAGCAGCAATTATGAAGCCTAGATTTCACAAAAACAATTGTGCCTTAAACCTGGAATCTCGGAAAAACAGAATTGAAGCAATTTGCATAATTTACAGGTAACAGTTCAACAAGTGCTGAAGATCAAAAGAATCCCTTAAACCCTCATCTTATAAACCCTAGATTCTCAAAACCTCAGCTAAATCAGGAGAAAGAAGGAGATGAAGAAGATCAATTCTGATGATACCCATGAATTAAAAACCACTGAAATCAGCTTAAAGCATGAAACTTTGAGGAAAATTCAAAATTTTGGGAATTGAGCTTAAGACTATAGAGTGAGAAACGCTCACCATTGGAGCTGGAGAAGTATCTTCCCGAGACCCATGTTCTACAACTCCGCGAGTGTTATCTTTATCACCCATCATCATCATCAAATTGAAACAAAACCCAGAAACAGTATAATAGCAAAAGAAGAATCTCCAGACAACAAAGTATCAATCTTTGAGATTAGTTTCAAATTTTTCAGGAGAAATGATCTGAGGAAGAAGAAGGACACTCATCTAAGGTTGTTGCTTCAATCATGTGTGCTCTCTCACACACATTCGTATCAGTGCCTGCCCCGTTTCTCTCTACTACAAAAGCGTAAATTGGACTCGGCGGTTTATATATTTTTTTTATTGTTTTGTCCGTATTACTTACTTAAGTAGAAGAAACTCTTTTATTATGGGTATTATCCCTTTAAACCAGTGGTGTATATATTTTTCAATCAAAATTTCCAGCTTACACATCCAATCTCAAATTGTTTCAACCTTCGTGTATGTGTATGTCTACATACGGCAATGTCACAAAACAAAAAAATAACATGGTTATGGAGGACAAAAAAAAAAACACTTTTCAACAAAATCAGTAAATTTGTGATTGTTGATCTGTCATTTGTTAATGTTTGTTCCTTTACAGTGTTTTGTTATTTATTCCTATTTGTGTATTGTAATCTATCACATTTATCACTTCTTGATTGGGTGATAGGTATTTGATAATTTTCCATTAAGTATTTTGGTGAATGTGTTTCTTCCAAAAATCCACTTAGAACTTTTGAAAATGATCCAAAAATGGTTATGAATATTTTTTATTTTTATTTTAAAAAGTTCAGATCTATTTCCAAATAGTGTCTGTATATTTCATATAAAGTTTTGATAATTTTTGGAACAAAATCTGAAAGATAAAAAAGAAACAATGGTGTGTTTTTTTTTCTGATAGAGAAAGAAGTAAATAACATTGAGATCAATACCAAATTTGGACAATCTTAAAAATAAATAAAAATTATGTTGTAGATAAGAGCAACATTCAAATGCGGCATATGGTAGTTACGTTGGCACAAAACTAAGAAATATGGATAAGGCAACAAAAAAAAAAAAGCTACACGCATCAAACCGATGATCATATAAAGTACATAGATGGATCTCTTGACAACGTAATACCTCAAACCGACAACATTTATATAATTTAATGTTGTGATATGAATGACAAGAAAAGTTAACAATGTGATTATTTTTTCCACTTAACCTAAACTAAGTGATGTAGAAGTAGCATGTCCAAAGACCCTTAATAAAACTGGTTTGGAATACAACTCATGATGTTGCATTAATCGTCTTGCAAACTAATAGGCATCATTACATTATACTTTCAAGTAAATTGGAGATTAACCTCATACTACTTGACGACGGTCCACTTCTCACCTGCGCTTACACTGGTTCTGACGTTGGGATTTCAAAGTCAATGTATAACGTTTTGAGTAAATAATGGGGTTGATAATGTAAATAATAAAACTATGTGGTATTTCCGAGAATTATATAAGGTGGGGGGTTTGAAAATTTATTATTTTTTTCATTTTATTAAATGGGAGGCCCAACTAGGCCCAACTTTATCAAACTCTGTGGCGAGTGGCCTCCCCTCGACTCGGTGTTCAAGCCAAAACGGACCAATCTTCCGTGGATCTACGAATAGGCATGCTCTGTTTCGTGCTCTCATCATCGCCTCTGCTCTCTCTGTTGTCCCTTTGATAGAGTTATTCCCTGGGACAGAGGTAACTGCTAAAAAACACGTATTTGGTGATGTCGCAAAGAAACCCGACATCACCTTTGTCTATCATCCGCATTTGGATGAGGACAACTCGACTAGCAAGAAGATAACTCAATCTCACCTTGCGCTTGTCTTGGCCACCACAGCTATTTATCATTGCTATTTAAGAACTCAGTTTCCACTTAAGAGAGATAGATAGATAATATGAACCATAACATTTTATGTTTGGAATAAGAATGGCATATATAACATAAATCGATTGCTTAACTAAATATGTTCGTTTCCATCTTTACTTCCTCCCATTTTTGTTACTTGTTACCGTCTACCTGAAACTCCAAATGCCTCTCTACAGGCTGTCTACAAACTGGACACAAATTTGTCTGGAACCTTAACACTTTGGCGCACCCGCTGCACATACACTGAGAACACAGAAATAATACACAAAGACAATTTCAAAATTCATCGCACGAAAGAGCTTCAAAATATCGTTGAGCTGAGTTGAAGTAAGAACTCAATACCAGGTGTCTGCAAGGAAGAACAGTTATATTACGTGGTTCAGACAAGCATACAACACATTCCTTTCCCTCATCATCAACCTCGTTCCCCGTCCCATAGATTTCTTGCAACTCATATCTACACCCATTCGTCCACAGACTCTGCCTCACCACTCCTATCTTAATCTCTTCTTTCCCCATCGCAAACGTCACTTGAGTAATCTGCGCATTCATGGAACCTAACTCTCCTTCCACCTCCCCCTTAATAGCCAGCGGATAGATATCTGTTCTCCCCTCTTTGAAAAGCTCGGAATCTTCAAATACAGTAAAGTCTATACCCGTTCCAGATGGTTGTATGAACTTCTGACCAAGTCCTTCTCCGAAATCAAATGAGATTGGAGGCAAAGTATCTTCCTTTGTTGATATAAGATCGCATGCTACTTCTTCCTTTACAAAGAAAACGATTTTGATCCTGTTCTCTCCCATTAAAATAACGAAAAGGTAAGTCATTTATAATTAAACTCTATCCCTTGATTGATTCAAAAAAGTTTCAAACTTTATAACCTTCCGGGCATGGATGCATCAAATGTGAAGGAGACGAGAAGGCGGTTCGGATTCTCCGGGTCGGGTACGAGCCTTAAAGTCTCCTTCTTCACATTGACCGGGTTATGAATCGTGACGACTTTCTGGTAGCCGACGTATGGAGGAGATCCACCGCCGGGAATCAAAGGATGAGAACTTTGGGGAGGCGGAGGATGGCAGTAATCTGGATACTGGTAAGAATTTTTAGGGTTAGGGTTTAGAAACGGTGGCGTCGCGGCGGCGAAGACACAACGAGTTGCTGGAAGTTCCTTAGTGGGTGAAAGAGGAGCCGTTTCCGTCGCCGGAGTAGTATTGTTCCTACGTCTTCTCTGAAACCAGCAGCAGCAGATCATATTCCCCATGATTGAATGAGTAAACTCAAATCGGAAAACAAATTTGAGTGCGTTGAATCGAAAATTTTGGAGAAGATGGTTGACTGAAATTAGAGTGTTAATTAGGTCATTTATGATCAAAAACAAAAACAATAAGTTTGGAAGCAGAGGAAAGGGAAAAAGTAACAAGTGTGAGATAGCCATAAAGTAGAAACGTAAACGTTATTTATTTTTTATTATTTTTTTTTTTTGAAAACGTTAAATTGCATTTATTTACGTTTTCTGTAAATTAACCAAATGTTAATATAGGTGCACCAAAAAAAATAAATGTTAATATAAATTAGGACCAGATTTGATTATTATTACTACTTTACCAAGTCATTTAGACGGTAGGCTCTTAACAAATGGTGAGCTCTAAGATTTATTTAAAACCACTAATAATGATGGTCTTATATTAACATTTTCTAACTTCTGTATATTTAAAAGAAGCAAAAAATAATCTTTAGATAAGATATTACAAAAACGATACTAATTGATGGGAGATTTGATTATTATTAGATATTATAATACGCTTTCATATTACAAAGAAAGTATACTAATGGGAGATTTGTTAATTACTAATGGGTGATTCTTGTTTATCTAATGGGAGATGTCAAAAAAAAAATTATACTAATGGGAGATTTGGTTATTATTTATACTCTTTCAAGCATTACCAAGTTATTTAAGGAGAAAAATATATACTAGAACGTATTCTTCTAAAAAATGATTTTATTTTTGGATTGTTGATAAAGACACTAAGACCCTAATGCATGTGTAGTTCTATAGTGTGTATCGCATAATATGAAAAGTTAATTTGCACCGACTATATATATATATATATATATATATATATATATATATATGTCACGTCTATAATAATGGTGGTTAGTAGAGCATTGTAGTAATGAAAATACTTAAATAGTGTACCCCTCATATATAAGAGATTTTTATTAAGAATATACTATCAAGTATCAATCAAATGGGTATAATTCGAAGAAATGTAGATTTCCAATGTAATGGATTTAAACAAACAAACAAACAAAAAAGATATCTAGAAGTAGAACCCTCGAGTGTCAGTCAATCTCCCGTCGGTGAAAGTGTTTTTTACTCGTCGTCTTCCTCGTAAATCGTCCCCAACGAAGGCGAAGCTGAAACCCTCATCGGATAAACGAGAATCGCCGGCACAGTTTCGAATGGTCCGATCATCCTCGCCATGATTTGATAAGATAATACTCTCGATTCCAATTAGACTTCCGGTAATAGCTTTCTACTTTGTTGAGAGTTGAGAAGATCTATATGGAAAAGTATTGTTATTGGTGATATCCCATTTTATAGAGAGAGCTGGCTAAAGTCATCATGTGATTTCGTGGAGTAATATTTTAATATACAAATACAAACAAAAAGAAAACTAGTGTTAGTGGGAAGAGCACAGAGCCACAGAGTGGTTTTAGTTCGGTGAGACGTAACGCAAAAGTCACGTGGGAACAAATTAAAAATGTAACGTACGACGCGGCTTATTACTTATTAGCACGTGTTATTTATGTTGCACATTAAGCTGATGATTGAAACATAATAATCAGTAACGCGTACACATTCGTTTACATACGTGTTCCTTCCTTCAATATTAAATATTAATTTTGATTAGATTAGATTCTTGTGGTTCAGAAGAAACTCATCTCACAATTAGCGGTGCGTGTGACTCTATACTTTCAGGTTATATTTTGGTATAATCATTGTTTTAAGATTAATAAAATTTATCTAACGCTCTATGAAAACACTTCAAAATTTCTTGATTCAAAACATTTTTTTGGTATGACAAATTGAAATATTGGGATCGGAGTTCTCTAACCGTCCCGGTTCGGTTTAGAGACTAAACTCGAAATTGAGATTTGAAAGATCAATGAAAACTTTTATAAAGAACTCATGAGATTTGATTATACAAAACATACAATACAAAATCTCATGCATGTTATACAGATTATATAGAAAAATGGTGAATCTATATCCAAATTAGTCCAAGACCGATCGATCGAGTAACAAAATGATCATTTTTTTTCCAAATTTACACGTCTTCGTGATCATGTTCCTGATCGTCTTCTTCTTCGGTCTCTCCTCCTTCTAGAATCGTCTCTAGGATCGGAGTAGTCGATGGCTTCGCCGGAGAGATTATCCTCGGGGGAATCGCCTCCATCCACCACGCCACATCCATCTTCACCACCACGGAGAGATTCTGATCGCACCGAGTATCAAAGAAACACATATTCGATACTGTCGATGATGTTATTTGAGCTTTGAAGAAGAAGTAATTCAATTTTTTGTGTTTTTTTTTCTTTTCACTTTTTGAGTTTTGATACGTGTTGCTTTGTTTGTGATATATATAGGAGAGACAAAGGTGTAGAGAAATGATGGGGTTGACGTGAGAGTCGGACAAGTGGACGATCCACAATGTCGAAGTTAGTTGTTGACTTGGTCTTTATTTTTGCTAATTATAATAATTATGAGAGCCAAAACAAGAACGTTCTAGAACCTCTTTGTTGTTGTTATCACAATTCACAACAAGCGTCAGATGTCCAACACGTGTGTAACCTTTCTGTCTTACACACTTTTTTCTATTGGTAAGATATTATTTTCCTGTCAATTCTAAGATATTTTTCTTTGCGTTATTATTGCTAAAGTCCAAAAAGATTTGGACTTTTACTTTGAAGTCTTAAAAGAGAAAAAGAGTCTGAAGTTTCTGCGTTACACACACATAAAAGTCTTAAAGAGTCTTGAAGTTTCTCAGCAATTGTGTAGGTGACGCTTTTGGACAGATACACAACTCTACAAACTAGTTTAAGACCGCAACTTAACTTGTTAAAACGTATGATTAGTAACGGTAACGTTTGGAGAAGACGAGACGGCTAAGTAGGCCCATATTAAAGTATAATGGGCTCGTTCTAATGGGCTCTCAACATTAGATGTTTGGATTTTTATTAATAACACAGCTTCTGGAAGAAACCCATATGATGATTTTTTTCAGTACTACTGTAGCTATATGATGAGAATTATGAAACTCTATGCACTTCTCTCCTTGTCCACTGATGGATTCCGCAATCCGCCTGCTTATTGATGCAATTCGATTATAAGCATAATACTAACTTTACAATGTTAGTGATGACACTGGACTTTAGATAATCGCTGGAAAAACATGAAAAAAAGCAAAGATGATAAAACATAATAACTAAAGTTACTACATTAGCAATCAGTTGATGGTATGTACAAATATAAGATGCCTTAACCTTTCCATTATAAATAAATTAAGTAGACAATTAGTCAATGACCTGAAAAGGATTGGATAAGATAAGCATATTTTGAAAGGTTGCTTTCATATCTTCTTGCTATTTCCCCCCTTATTTTAGTTTTCTTACTTATTGGTTTTCCCCCCTCATTTGATAGTAATATATGTAATATTGTAATTGATAATATCATAACATAAGATGCATATTCAAAATAGAATAATAATAACAATAACTTCCCCTGAATAAGTAGGTGACCATGTTGTCACTAGAGGATTCGATATTTTACATATAGAATATATTTGTTTATTTCTAGGGAATTATTGGGAACCTTGTGATCGAACATGTCACCTAAAAAGTGAACTTATCGGATCGCATAAGTTTTTGAACAAAATATTCTTACGTTAATCTTTTTTATATATGTCAGAATTGTTTTTCATTAATCGAGAACAAGGATTAGAATGTCACTAGCTAAATTTTTACAGAGGGGAAAAACTTAATTTTTGATGTTTTATAAATATCGATTAAGTGGGTGCTGTCAACTTAAGAAAATAAATAGAAAAGATCGATTAAGAGGCCTAACAGTCCATTTTAGAATGTAAGTCAAATTATATAACATATATACATATCGATACCAAAAAAATATATATATATATATATATATATGTACAATAATATGCAGATGAGTACTTGACAAATACATATGACATTTTGCAACAATTATTTGTTCGGTGATAAAACAACAATAATTAATAGACATTCCCAAAAGTAGAAAACATTGCAACTAACAGGTAAAGATTACGATATACGGCTGAAATAAAGAGGATTTGGATGTCTCTTAATCATGTAGTATAAGATTTACTATAAAAGACAATAGATATAGCTAGAGTGTGTGATCTATAAGTCTATAAATACTTCATGATTTTTGTAAGTAGCTCGATTATCGACTATATTCTATCCAAAAAGAGAGAGAGGCTCCATTATCATCATTTTGTATTCTTCTTGGTACTTGTGTTTTGTAATATTTAAAAGCTCCAGTTATGGAGAGGTCTAATCGAACAATAATTAATCAATTGGCCACACAACTCCATTATTATTTTTAAGTTGAAATTGGTACAACAGATATGCTATTTTCCATCAGAGTTATATTTTATACTGCTAGATGAATAAAAGGGAATCAAAAACTTGAGAAATGTATTTAGCTTTTTTTTTTTTTTTTTTTTTTTGTAAACCAAGAAATGTATTTAGCTTTGAGAAAGACAATGTAGCTAGGGAGATATAGAAATTGAATGTATGTATACTACTTGGAATTTGTTTTAGTAAAGCTAAAGTGAATACATTTATATGTACTCCCAACAAAACAAAACAAAAAAACATAACACTTTATTAGCTGAACGTCTGAAATTGCGCATGGATACATCTTCTATGCATGCACGCAGCATGGCATATGTGCAAGTTAAGAATACAGTATTAATTACAAAAAAGAATAAAATAAAGTATCGTTGGCAATTATTATTATCTAGTTGTGAGTTATATTGATATAAATAGAATAAAACTAAGATATGTATTATATAATAAACAAGGAAATTATGAATCGAGAGCCTACAAACATATATACAATGTATTGTCTACAGTCGTCGTATTGGCAATGAACGTTATATACAAAGTAGTATATATCCACACAAAAAGTGAATGTCAATATATAAATGAGACCGTAGCTAGAAAATATATTCGAGTTACGTTCCCCCACATGTTTTGTTAATGATCAGTAGAGATGATATATAGTCCAACAGATTTACCAACTATATCTAATATCATATGTTTTTCCATTTTATATAGTTTTGTTGTTTGGTTATTGCATTGTTTCATTTTTGTTCCTTTGTTGAAAAACATGATCGGGTCGGGGTATTAAGTATAACAACAATTGTTTTTACCAACAGTCGTAAATTATTATCTTTAGCATCAAGAGAATGAAAAAATAAAGGGGGACCTGAGTGACGTGTCGAGATACTATAGACGCCTGAAAATGAAATATATCCGTAAATTGTCAAAAATGTGATGAGGTCCAGTGGGCCTACTTCTGTTGACAACTGATGTCTTACCTATTACTGGCCCACGTGTCCTTCGCGATCAGGTGTATTTTTTTATTATAAAAATATTAGATATTATTATAAATTTAAAGAGAGAGAGTCATATCAAACAGCTGAAAACACATATATTATATTTTTATATATATTACAATTTCGTTATTATTTTCAGAAACATTTTGTTTTTGTTTTATCTTGGTATATATATATGGTTGACAAAAAAAAAAAAAAAATCCCAACAAATTGCGATTAACAGTACTTAGGGGGTGTATTAAAAGTAGAATTTCAAGTGATTTGTAAAAAGTTTATAAATCCAGTGTTATTCAATCATGAATTTTAAAAAGTCTCATGAAATCTAGCGTTATTGAACTAATCATTTTAAAATCTCCCTTAAAATCCACTGTTATTGAAAACAATTTGTGGATTTGATTTTAAACGATTTCAGAGAATTTTAGAGGAATTCTGAGAACTTTCTTAGTTAAAAATATAAGAATCCAAATCTCATAATTTTAGGTGGGATTTGAAAGGATTTTACATGAATCATATGAAGTTCCATAAAATCATCAAAATCTCAATAAAACTCAAATCTCTTAAAATGCTCTTTTGAATACACCCCCCTTATTTTATAATAGATAGTGAACTTATTAAGTGGGAACACGTCATGTCCCTATTAGTCCACGTGAAGTACTCCGACGTTTTTTTTTTACTGAATAAAAGAAGAAGAAGAGAGGCGAATGTATTATCCTACGTGTCATTCAGCTTTGGAGTTTGGACAATCCAATTATTTGTGTTCATTGTTCAGTCTGAGTTTGGGCCATGTTCCCCTGTGGACAATCCCACTATTATTCTTGTCTTTTTTTCAACTATACACACTACTAGTACTAACTACCATACAATACTTGTAGTATTTTTTTTTAAATGAGATGAATTACTTATATTTTTTATGTTTTTGGATGGTGGAGCCGATTCAATTTGATATTGAATTTTAATCTGATAAAACATTTTTTTTATTTGTATATCTCTATGGGTGGGTTTCTAAAACAATGGAAGAAATGATTTCAAGTGTCAATCAAATGGTTATATCAACTTCTTTATTCAAGATACTGACAGATCCATTCACATCAACTCTCTCTTTATGTGTATTATATTATATAGCTCCGGTTCATCCTGGAGTACTAGTATCACCGGTTCATTCCTCCTATAGATAAACCAGTACATTGTTGTCTATTATAATCCTGGTACAATGTATTGGTTTGATTGCCAAATGTTAACAATCAAAATAAGTTCCGAGGGTCGATAACAGAACAGGCACAGGTTATCAGAGCTAATTTACACAAAATGGGTAAGAACAAACATTACTCTATTGTCCATCTAAAGTGACGAAAGCATCCTTTAGAAGTCGTTGTGCTTCTTCTCTCCTCCTACACGCAACCAAAACACCAAACAGACGCATAAGAACTACCAACAAGCTCTAGATTGACGAATCGTTATAGTTTTACAGATTGATATTGGCACCACCATCAGTACAGAAAGCATATACAAACCTCTTAATGTCCTCCACAGCTTGTTTTCGCTGTTGAATTTGAATCTCCATTATGTGAATAAGCGTAGCTCTCGCCTACACAACAGGACAAGCGATAAGAAAAACAGAAAGCAATAAAACAGATGTAGTAAGTAAATGAAGACGAGATGTTTCCATACTTGGTGAGGCCTCAAGGAATTGAGAAGGTGATGCAAATTCTTGAAGATTGAAGATATCTCACCAATCCTCTTTGCATACTGAGAAGGTCTGTCAACAAGAACATCAGCAAGCTCCAATATATGTAACTGTAGCTCTCTATTCAGCGACCTGAGTTCCTTCTTATAATCTACGCAAAAGATAAATTCCAAACTCTCTTCAACAAAACAAAGAGGCCACTTCCAAAGATTATAACTTGAAGGTAGTAATAAGTTTGATTCCAATGAAGAAGATTAAGCAAAACCATACTCTAGGTTTGAAGTAGAAGAATGACATTACTACATACCAACATTTGAATCTTTGGGATAAAGCTGAGGCACTCCTTGTTCCTCTAAGCTCGGAAGAACATCTTCAGTCTACACCAATATTTTGAAAATATGTAAAACCCATAAAGATTAAACAGGGGAAAACGTGAAGGGAAACAGAGGAATCAATCTCACTGTATAGTTGCCTCCGAAAGAAACGTAGGTGCCTTCAATGGGAGGCGGAGGTTCAGGAGCGGAGTTAGGGTTCTCTGAGTACTCCTTGTAGAGTCTGTAATATGGAGGAGGAGGCGGGTACGTAGCTGTGGCCATCCTCCACAGATCTGGAAACTCAACAGATTCCTAAAATTAGGTTTTTAATCGAAGCAACGAACGATTCAATCCCAAATTTACGGTTTCATACGAATGATTCTGGGTGAAAACTGCAAAAATTAAAAGGGAGAAACTAGGGTTTATATCGACACGAACCTTTTGGGAATGAAGAATCGAAATGGAAACCACACGAGGAAGAAGATCGAAGAAGCTTGGTTTGTTTTGGAGAAGACGACGCCGAGATAGCAAGACCAAAGAAAGAAAAAAAAAAAACAGAGTGAAAATAATGGTTTGGGTTTCTCGTATATGTTCTCGGTTAAATTCGGTTTGGTTCAGAGTTTTAAGTTAATTCCAAATCAAATGACATTAAAATCTGTTGTACATACAAACGGTGAAATTAAAATACAAATGTACAAGAATCATTTGTTGATTACAAAAAATTAAAAAAAAAAAAAAAAACTTTATATCTTACAAAATTTAATTTTAATCCAAAGTTTAAAATAATAATATTAATGAAAGGTGATTAGGTGGATGTAAAACTCCATTAACATCATCATTTTGATGACAACTCCTATAGTTTTTTTTTTACTTTTTACTATTTAAATGGACGAGTGTGTCTGTAATAGAGCTCACGATAAGAACGTGAGACTGGCCACACCTTATTATATGTCCTCTTTTTTTTTTTTTTTTTTTGGATTAAATCTTTCATTGTCCTTTTGTCGTCTACTGTGTAAGTCGTAACTCACATAATTTAACCCCAACCCAATGAGCTTATCTCTTTACCACATTTCTCTATAAAAATGATCTCTCTACTCATCTTCTTCAATCCCACAAAGTTTCACAAAAACCAATTTCAGAAATATTTCGACAAATCTGATCAAAACCCAGCTTTCTGTTCTCGTCGGAAAACAACTTCTTCATCTTTCTCTCTAAGCTCTGTTTTCATCAATGGCGTCAAGGAAGCTTTTTTTTGCCAAGCCTAAATACATATATCCAGAACCAGAACCAGTTATGTCCGATGAGAATGTCTTTGAGTTCGACGAATCTGACATCCATAACTTAGGCGATCACCAATTGCCTAATTCGTTTGAGGCCAAGCGATCCATATCGATCTCTCGGTTACGGAGAAAACCGGCGAAATCCGGAGATTCCGTCGGTTCTGGTAACCGGAATATAACAAAGACCGGTTCGCTTCCGGTTAACATCCCGGACTGGTCTAAGATCTTGAAGAGTGAGTACAGAGGCCATGCGATACCTGACGACGACAGTGACGACGAGGACGAGGAAGATGACGATAGCAACGACGGTGGAAGACGGATCATTCCGCCGCACGAGTATTTGGCGCGGCGGAGAGGATCGTCGTTCACGGTGCATGAAGGGATCGGTGGTACGGCGAAGGGAAGAGATCTAAGGCGATTGAGGAACGCCATATGGGAGAAGATTGGGTTCCAGGATTAGTATAATAATAAGTATGTGATTAATTAATTACATAACTCTCTCTCTATATAGGTAATAACTATTAGATATGTTAATCCATTACAGTAGTAATTACTTAGATCTTAAGTAAGGCGGACTTCGTGTTTTGATTGGGGGGAGGTGTTTGTTTAGTAGGATCGTTATAGTTTCGGTCCGAAGGAGATCATTTTTCTATATCCTTTTGGCTTTATATTTTTGTTTTTTTCGTTCTTCTATTTTTTCTTTATTGTTCTTGAGTCTTGAGTTTTGAGTTTTGGGTTTTGATCATTGTCTATATTTTTTTCTTTTGGGATATGATATATAATCAAAGTATTTATTTCAAATCTTTTGACAATATATGGGTTTACTTCTTAGCATTCTCACATAAATCGCACTACTAAATACGATAAAAATGTCCTAAGTGGTCGAGAAAAAAAAAATAGATTAAGTAATATAATAATCAAACGTTATAATGATCAATCGTCTACTACTTATAAATTAACATCCATAAAAAAAAATTAGTTCTTAATTATTGAACGATGGTGACCCAAACAAAACCAAAAAATTGGTTGAGATTATTCATTTGTTTTATTATATAAGGACAGAGGGAAAGAAAATTGATAAACGAAAAAAAAAAATTAAAAAATTGATAAACGAACAAAGGTTTATATAGAACTCTTTGAGTTGAGAGAATGTGTTCATATACCACCAACCAAAGAACTTTTTGAACAAATGTTTTAGTCCAAAAACCAACTAAACCAACCAACAAAAACAGGATTAGTCACCTCAACATTTAAACTAAATCTTCTTCATAAAACATCTCTTCAAAAGTCATATATCAAAGTGACACGTCTTTTGAAGGTGAACCACCATATAGTATAAAGTTCGACTATACACGATAGGCTTTAAAAGTCTTTTTAGCAATAAATAATTTGTTTTTGTACATTTTCCCTTGTTTCACAGGAGTCATAGAAAAACCGAATTACATTTCTTAAAGTTGATGTGATAATTATTTATTTTCTTAATATTTGTAATTAGAAAGTATAATGATATACATTCAATGAAAGTTATTGTGATTTCTATTTTTCTCTTGTCTCCCAGTTTCTGCTATCTACTTTTGTAACAACAGTTCAAGATTTGGAATCATTTATACTTTTTTCTTACAGATATTAAGAAAATGTTTTGGTTAAAATTTTCCAATACGCATAACTTGCTTCGTAGGTTTGATAGTGCATATTCGTTTTTCACCAATCCAATTGGGGGGGTTTGAAACTAGTTAAAACCTGATATATATAATATTAAAAACTCACTAAAAATTTTCTAAACGCAAACTAAAATTATGTGACAGTTCAAGACTTGGGAAAACAATATAGTTTGGTAAGCATTTAACAAAGAAAGATGAGCCATCAAAATCGTCAGGGAATATGTTGAATGTGGAGTTCACACTATTGCACACCCACAAAGGTGCAGCAGTCATAGTGGCAAACAAGCGGCGCCCTTAGTTTGGTATGCAATGAGACATTTGTTTTCGACTGTTGGTGTTTTTGCCATATTCACAAAATTATACATCGAGTTATGTTAGAACATTATTGTCAAATCAAATACAGTAGTGACAATTTAACTTTTGCTTATTCAAACAAAAGATAACGAAAAGAAAGAAAGAAAAAATAGAAGTGAACCAATAATTCTTTTCACTGGTTTAATTATTTATCTCTAAGTTCCTCATCATATTCTTTATATGAAACACACATTTTATATACACACTGTATACACATATATATACACATATATATATATAATTATAAATAAAGCTTTTTACTAGCTACATGGCGAGTTTGATGTAAAATCCTATTGAATTTTAGATTTAAAACAATTTTCAAAGCTTTGTAAATTATATTATGCTACAAGAAAAAGGTTTGATGGACGAGACAGCTAATTAAGAAACCAACTAGAGCCTGACACCTCTTTTCCTTCTTCTTACTTAGTAACTTGTGACCATATTAATGTCACTATATTTGTTTGAAAATTTTATATGATTATTATGTACTGTACTTAACTTCAGAACACGAATATAATTCGCAGATTCAGTTTTTCTATGATATTGATGTCACATTAAATCGCCAATTAGCTATAGATGCAATATATAAGAAAGACGATGTATAATTTCTAAAAGCAGGATTGTTGTTGTAGGAATAATAAAAAGCAGCATTGTTAACAATACACTATTATTACTGAAAGTTGAAACACAAAGGCCCGTTACGAGCCCAATCGAAGTTCATAAGAAATAAAAGAAAATAGTAAAAACAGAAACAGGGAAGTTTTTTCCCGCAGACGGAACGGAATACAAACTAAACCAGGTGAACAAGATCACCTCCCAAGTGCATGTGACTTGAACCACCACATTTTAACAAGATCACAGAAGCTTAGAAGCTTCCACCACGAAGACGAAGGACCAAGTGAAGAGTCGACTCCTTCTGGATGTTGTAATCCGCTAGGGTGCGTCCATCTTCGAGCTGCTTCCCAGCGAAGATGAGTCTCTGCTGGTCTGGTGGGATCCCTTCCTTGTCCTGAATTTTAGCTTTGACGTTGTCGATTGTGTCTGAGCTCTCAACCTCCAAAGTGATGGTCTTTCCGGTGAGGGTCTTCACAAAGATTTGCATACCACCACGGAGACGAAGCACCAAGTGAAGGGTAGACTCCTTCTGGATGTTGTAATCCGCTAGGGTGCGTCCATCTTCGAGCTGCTTCCCAGCGAAGATGAGTCTCTGCTGGTCTGGTGGGATCCCTTCCTTGTCCTGAATCTTGGCTTTGACGTTGTCGATTGTGTCAGAGCTCTCCACCTCCAAAGTGATGGTCTTGCCGGTTAGGGTCTTGACAAAAATCTGCATACCACCTCTCAGACGAAGCACCAAATGAAGGGTGGACTCTTTCTGGATGTTGTAGTCAGCTAGTGTACGGCCATCCTCTAGCTGCTTACCGGCAAAGATAAGCCTCTGTTGGTCCGGAGGGATACCTTCCTTGTCCTGGATCTTTGCCTTGACGTTGTCGATAGTGTCAGAGCTCTCAACCTCGAGGGTGATGGTCTTGCCGGTGAGAGTCTTGACAAAGATCTGCATACCACCTCTCAACCGGAGAACCAAGTGGAGGGTCGACTCCTTCTGGATGTTGTAATCAGCCAAGGTACGGCCATCTTCGAGCTGTTTACCAGCGAAGATTAATCTCTGCTGATCCGGAGGAATGCCTTCCTTGTCCTGGATCTTTGCCTTCACATTGTCGATGGTGTCTGAGCTCTCGACCTCGAGAGTGATGGTCTTGCCAGTTAGTGTTTTCACAAAAATTTGCATCTGGACAAAAACAAAGGAGCAAGTCGAAATCGATCAGCAAATATTGGAAGCCGTAATACGAAATCACACCACCACCAAAGAGAAACGTCTTTTGAAAACCCTAATTTTTTAAGAGAATTTCACAATCAAGCAAGGAATTGAACAGATCTGAACAATATAGGTGATAAATCCAAACGAGAAAACGTAAGAACAATCACAAAACTCAACATGCAAATCCGACGAGAAACGAATAGAGAAACTCATAGTAATGTTTTGGAATCAACAAAATCGAAAAGAAGATCCAAGAAGCCAAAAATCGGAGACCAGAAAAACAAAACCAAAACGAAGAGAGCAGATGCGAAATCAAAACAAACGAATAAGAAGAAGAAACATATAACATACCTTGAAAGAGAGAATAGCTGAGGACGATTTAGTTGTTTTGGGGGGAGAGATTGAAGAATCAGAGAAAGACCAAGGGATGATTCAGATCCTTCACTCGAAGGTCTTCTTTATATAGCCAAGCCGATGGATCCCTTCCTTAATATCTTTGGGGACAAAATTATTATTAAAAAAAAAAAAAAAAAAAGGAAAATATCAGTTTTTAGGATTATCATCACGAAGGAACCATAGGACACGTGTCCAAGTCAGTACCGATCGTTTGTAAAGGCCGAATCAACTAATGGGGTGGATGGATTATTAGGTCATCCATGACCTAACAACAATTTGCTCCCCTTCTTCTTCTACGAACCTCTCTGTTTCTCCCTCCAAACCCGTGACAAAACATGTCTGATGACGAGCACCACTTCGAGTCTAGCGATTCCGGAGCTTCCAAGACCTTTCCTCAGCAAGCTGGTAACATCCGTAAAAGTGGTTTCATCGTCATCAAAGGCCGTCCCTGCAGGGTTGTTGAGGTTTCGACTTCCAAGACTGGCAAGCACGGTCACGCCAAATGTCACTTTGTTGCCATTGATATCTTCAATGGTAAGAAGCTTGAAGATATTGTGCCATCTTCCCACAATTGTGATGTTCCACATGTCAACCGTCTTGATTACCAGTTGATTGATATCTCTGAGGATGGATTCATTAGCCTTTTGACCGACAGTGGTGGCACTAAGGATGACCTCAAGCTTCCCACCGATGATTTTCTTGCCGCTCATATGAAGAGTGGATTTGAGGAGGGTAAGGAGGTTGTGGTGACTGTCATGTCTTCCATGGGAGAGGAGCAGATCTGTGCTGTCAAGGAAGTTGGTGGTGGCAAGTAAACTAAGTATCCTCCGGATAATATTATTACCAGTTTGGCAACAGTTGTCAGTGTTATAAGAACAAAAGATGTTTTTTCTTCTTCCTAATTTAGACCATCTGTGTGTTTCTTGTTGCAAGACAACCATATCTATTGGTTCTGGATTGTTGCAAAATTTGTGTTGAAACATTGAAAGTTTCCCTGTCAGATGTTATTCTTAATCCCTATCACTGTTCGGTGTTTGTATGTTTATTCAGTAAGTTTTGTGCTAAGGCAACTTTGCTCCTCTGGCAAGAATTAATAAATGGTGGATACGAATACTGTTATGTATTGATTGTTTTTATTTTAATTCTTTAACAACCACATTTTGAAATATACGATATGTATATTGAGTTCTTGAACTTTTGTTACTTTATTTTTTTAAGCCACTGGCCCATTAAGAAGCTGCTAAAATATGTTAAGTGTTAAACAATGGTGATACTGATTCCTAAAGTATAGCTAACCTGAAGTTAATAAACTCTATATAATATGTCATGTGTATGAGTATTATATATATTCATAACATTTTTTTGCGTACAGTCTAAGAATTTCCTAAGTAAAACTTCAACGAGTATTTCAATCCTGAATATTATTGTTTTTATCAGTGCAATTTGTGGTTAATAAATTGATGGTTGCATAGGTGACGATGAATTGTTGCCTAACCTTTATACTGAAAAACAGGGCTATTGTTTAATCACTACACAGTAGTATTAAGATAACAGAATTATAATTCTAGTGGTACATTAAACCGAAAAATTGTTTGTTGAACCGGACAAACCGGCGAAATTAAATGCCGGTTTTGGGGTTTCATTGTTGAAGAAGATGAGAGTGTTGAAGTATTCAAGAGACGAAAAATTCACAAGTCCAAGACCCTTCTTTTTCTCCTCACTTTTCTGCTACAGACTCGGACTCGTTCACTCTCTCACTCTCTCTCTGTAGAATTTGCTAAAAATAGAGATGAGTATCTGTGTCCGACTTTTCATCTATCTCACTCTCTTTCCTTTACCCTCTCTTCTCTGTTACTACTCTGTTTCATTACCAACTCAGACTCTGAGATTGATTTTTCTTCCAACATGGCTTTTATGAGACTTGGCTCCAAATCCGAAGCTTTCCATCGTGAAGGCCAAACCTGGTACTCTTCTTTCTCTGCATTTACCTTCCTCACTCTGAATTTAATCAAGTTATATAGGTCTTTTGTTGCAATTGAGATGGGTTCTTCTTCTTAGGATCATTACTCGTGGTTTCAATTTTTAAAAAATCCTAACTTTGTGGATTTTAAGAATATGGCTAGCTTGTGTGACATCAAATAATCAAATTTGTACGGAGAAGTGTTATGTTTTGGGTGATGTTATATGTCTCTCGGCTCGTCTACAGGCTTTGCACCACAGGACTCGTGAGTGATGTTACCATAGAAGTTGGAGACATGAAGTTTCATCTCCACAAGGTTTCTCTTCTCATATTTTTTTAAATCTTAGATTTTATGTAATTGCATAAAGTTGAATGCTTTTCAGGTTGTTTTATAATTTTGTAATGCGTGTTTTGATTTTGTCTTTGTGTAGTTCCCATTGCTCTCCAGAAGTGGGCTTCTTGAGAGGCTAATCGAAGAGTCTTCAACTGATGATGATGGATCAGGCTGTGTTTTGAGTTTAGATGAGATACCGGGAGGCGGCAAAACGTTCGAGCTTGTGACCAAATTCTGCTACGGTGTGAAGATCGAGCTTACCGCATTCAATGTTGTTAGCCTTAGATGTGCAGCTGAGTACCTTGAGATGACTGATAACTATGGAGAAGGGAATCTTGTCGGTATGACAGAGACTTTCCTCAACGAAGTGTTTGGGAACTGGACCGACTCGATCAAAGCTCTTCAGACATGCGAGGAAGTGATCGATAACGCTGAAGATCTTCACATTATCTCCAGGTGTGTTGATTCTTTAGCTGTCAAAGCCTGTGCTGACCCGAGCCTTTTCAATTGGCCCGTGGGAGGAGGAAAGAACGCTACAAGCGGGCAGAACACAGAAGATGACGCACATTTGTGGAACGGAATCTCGGCTTCCGGAAAGATGCTGCAACATACTGGAGAAGATTGGTGGTTTGATGACGCTTCGTTTCTTAGCTTGCCTCTCTTCAAAAGACTCATTACCGCTATTGAAGCACGTGGCATGAAGCCCGAGAACATCGCGATGGCGGTTATGTACTATACAAGGAAACATGTTCCTCTGATGAATAGACAAGCGACCATGGATGAGCAAGTGAATGAGACATCGAATCCTTCTGAAGAAGACCAAAAGTCTTGTCTTGAGGAGATTGTAGGGTTGCTTCCGAACAAGAAAGGTGTAAACCCGACCAAGTTTCTTCTCAGGCTGCTTCAAACTGCAATGGTGCTTCACGCAAGCCAATCCTCGAGGGAGAATCTGGAGAGAAGGATTGGAAATCAATTGGACCAAGCTGCTCTAGTTGATCTTCTTATACCAAATATGGGATACTCTGAAACACTTTATGATGTTGAATGCGTTTTGAGAATGGTTGAACAGTTTGTTTCTTCAACAGAACAAGGAGGTATCGTCCCTTCTCCTTGCATCACTGAAGAAGGACATTTGGTGAAGGATGGAGCTGATTTGATAAGTCCCACCACGTTAGTGGCAACTTTGGTTGACGGTTATCTCGCTGAGGTCGCACCCGATGTTAACCTGAAGCTGGCGAAGTTTGAAGCCATCGCTGCTGCAATTCCTGACTATGCAAGGCCACTAGATGATGGAGTTTATCATGCCATCGATGTGTACTTGAAGGTAACAAAACTTGTGTTTTAAAAAATTTTAAGCAATAGTTTTGTTAAGATGTTGATTTATTTGCAAAATTTGTAGGCTCATCCGTGGATTACGGATTCAGAAAGAGAGCACATATGTAGGCTCATGAATTGCCAGAAGCTCTCGTTGGAAGCTAGCACACATGCGGCTCAGAACGAGAGGCTGCCTCTTCGGGTGATTGTTCAGGTTCTCTTTTTCGAACAACTTAGGCTCAGGACATCTGTATCGGGCTGGTTCTTTGTCTCTGAGAACCTAGACAGCTCTGAGAACCCAAATGGCGGCAATGGGGGTTTACTTAAGCCCAGAGGTGAGAGCGTAAGAGAACGTGTATCTGAGCTGGAAAAGGAGTGTGTGAGCATGAAACAAGAGCTGCATAAGCTGGTGAGGACGAAAAGAAGCTGGAAGAATTTCACCAGGAAGCTTAACTTCAAGAAGAAATCAGAATGCTGCAAGCCCAAGGATCAAGCAACGCCAGCAATTTGAGCTCGTTCCATCGATCAAACTCCTCTGTTTTAAGGCAAAACTACTAGTTTTCCCTTTTCCTTTTTTTTGTTTTACTTAGGTAGAAAGATCAGAACCTCGAGATACCGAGTAATCGTTTAGATTAGCTTTGTTTTTTTCTGGTTCTTGATGATACTCTGTTTTCAAAAGTTTTCATCTTTCTCTTAGTATCTCGCTAAGAGTTTTGATGCTTTTTAGATTCTGCTCTTACTTACTCTACCGCAGAAACTGGGAAAACGATAAAACAAGAACTCTGTAGAAAAAACACATTAATTTCATTTCTTATGCAATTTTGGGGTGTATTGTGCAAGCCCCACAGGAAACAATCTCAGACACAAACCAACACAAGGAAAATACAATCAACAAAGAATATCATCAGCGACACTTAACAAATATGACGAAGAATCGAGTAGTGTTCTGATCTCAGATTCTTAACACGAAGGATAGTCTTTAGGTGGTGGTAGAACGGAAAGCTCAGGTGTATCCCCGTTCTCTACGACGAAAGCCATCTTCAAACCCCACATTGTATGGACTTCCAAGTGACAATGCATAAACCAAACACCTGCAACAACATATGCATTGATCAGCTGATCTGCACATCATATATAGTCATGATCATCATATATGTGCATTGACAGATGTATCATACCTGGATTATCAGCCCTGAATCTGATGGCAGCCCAACCACCGGTAGGTACTCCAACAGTGTTTCTCTCTGGCGGGTCAATGAGATTGAACTTAGCTGGATCTTTCTTGGGATCGAAGTTTCCAACACCGGTTCCAACTACAAAGAAGTTGTAGCCGTGAAGATGGAAAGGGTGTGACTCAACGGTTAGGAGATTGGTGTCTTGCAAGACAAGCTCAATCGTAGTATTGAACTTAACTCGGCTCAGTCTAGTCCCCGTAGATGTTCCGAGGTTAGCCGTGAGGGGCACACCGGTGTAGTTAAACGCCTTGGGAGGTCGGTCTGGGAAATCAGTTCTGAACACGCCAGGGATGTTGGAGTAATGAGCTTTCAAGAGCGCGATTTTGGGCATAACGAATGTGATGTTGTTTATAGAAGCTGCTAGATTCGTCCCGTTCACACAAGTCGGGCACGCGTTGATGCCTAGCCCGATCGTGTAGAACAGTCGCCGGTCTACTTTTAAAGGTACAAGCGCGGGGAAATTGGGTGTGTTGAGGCTCTTGAGCTTTCCGGTATAGTCCAAAGCAAAAGATGTGTCGTTAGGCAAAGGAAGCTTTGGTAAAATTGGTATGACCGTGTTTGGTACGCCTTTGTATTGAAGAATCGCGGTTACGGTTTTGTTGTCCACGGATACTGGAGCGTCCATGAACGGACTAGCTGCCATGAAGTACCGGTTTGGTGAGCGGTCGGTTTTGACTAGAACATTTGTGGTTTGACCTGGTCCGAGTAAAATAGCTTTGGTTGTGAAAGGTTTAGTGTAGACCGCGTCGATTTCAACAACGGTCATGTCGTGTCCCGCAATCCCGAAAAATAGCTCGTCGTTTAACGCTGCGTTGATAACCCTTAAAAGGTATGTTTTGCCAGCTTCGACCTCTACCACGAACGTGTCTGAGAAAAAATATTTATCTTATATTTGATCTGACTAGAGACGGTCCGGTCCGATAACAAAAAAGTTACAAAAGGCTTACGTTTCTCGGAACAAGGGAAGAGTGGTCCTGGCTTCCCGTTGATGGTATGAGCATCCGACATCGGAGGTGGTGCTCCCAACTGGTTGGCTTGGTTAACCGCGGTCTCAATGTCTTTGTTCCACCATTCTCCTACAATAATATTTAATAACCGGGAAATTTAGAATTAAACCGTAGATTTAGACCAGACCAGACCAGTAAAAACCGAACCAGCTCTAATTATATTTTTCTCTAACCGAGGATGATGTTGGTTTCTTGGTGTGGTTGTGGGAACGGATATGGTTTTCCCGGTTGAGGCAAGATGACGATAGCTCCGTACACAGTGGCTCGTAGCCAGAGGATATGTGCGTGCCACCATAGGGTCCCTCGTTGTCCGGTCACATTGAAATCGTAAACGTAACTCTGTCCGGTTTGGATCGGACACTGAGTAATGTATGCTGGACCATCCGCCCAACCGTTTCGGTACTGTTTAAGTCCATGCCTAAAAAAAACAAACCGTTTAATATTGGTTCACAAAGAATGACTGAACCGGTTAGGCCAGTTTGAGACGTAGGAAGGAAAGAGATGGTTTACCAATGGATGGACATGTTGTATTGTACATGGTTGGTTACGTTGATGATGACTCGATCACCTTCTCTTGCGTAAACCGTCGGTCCAGGGAACATTCCGTTAACCGTGACAATCGGTTTAGCATTGCATATTCGGCTTACGTTCTTCACTTGAACCTGTTTAAAATTTCCAAAACTTTCGTTAGTAGAAAATTACTACGTACATATCTAGTGTAACCCGAATAATTTATATTGAGTTGTGTAATATAAACCGGTTTAGTAAACACCTACATCGAATTGGTAATTCTTCACCGCCGCATCCACCGGAGAATCACCAAGAAACCCAAGAAGATAAAAGAATAGAAATAGAAAACCCGGGTTTCGGATTAACTTCATTTCCGGTTCACTCGTCCGGTTTTGATGCAATGATGATGAGTAGATTTGTGTTAAATCTTCTTCTCTATTGCCTTTTGGTTGGTTATGCAAGTTGTATTGAAGAAATCGTAGCTGGTTACAAATGCATTATATAGTGTCAAAATGCAAACAAAAGGTTGGTGAATCTCTTCATAATATTATTAGAAAAAGTATCTTTATATTATAGGTGTAGAAATGCGAAAATAAATTGTGAAAAAACATGCGTAAAATACATTATTAAGAAAAAACAACTTGGAAAAAATAGATGTAATGGAAGAAGAAGAAGAAGGCTTGGAAGCAACTTTCTGAAGGACGTTGGCGAATCAGCGTAACGTTTGTTAATAATATGGAGTACCTTCGAAGTTGATATCTCAGCTTTATATTAATGTTTTTTGACTTTTCGTTTTAACAATGAAAAAAACAATACATTTCGTTTTAATTTAATTTTCTCTCCAATTCAAGAAAGACTATGATCGATGAAGTGAATAGATAAATTTGGGATTCAATTTTTGTCATAAGTTACACTTCAGGTATAAAACGAAATACAAAACACTAAAAATGAGAATACAATATACAACCAGTAATGTCTTTTTTCTTTTCTTTTTTCTATTTTGTTTAAACTTCTGAAAACTTGCTTTGCAGTAACATGTTGCTTAGCCATTCGTTTAGTCTGTAAAAATTATTTATACTTTTGAAAATATAGTGATGTTTTGGCGTAAGCGAAAATGACTGATCTCTTAATTAAAAGATCATTTTTTCTATTATTTTTTGCCAACGAGATCGTGTATGTATGTATGTATGTATAGTTTTCTAAAATTCAAATCTCAACCAACGTATTTTATAATTTATAAGGAACTGAAGTTGGTCAAAAAAATTATCAGAAAATTACGCTATTTGACTGGTCAAAATCCTAAAACTTGGATCAAACAAACACTTTTCATGTCCGAAAGCCCCAAAGCTAAAACGATTAGAGACAAATCACTTTATATATACTAGTCGTCAAGCTAAACCCAATTCAAGCTATTATTGGCTACAGGCCCGTATGGAATATGCGTATGATAGAGCCATACGAACCAAGATAAAACCTTATAAAAGTATGTTGGTTATGGTAAGGTAAGGTGTATCTATTTTTTTTTTGCTTTAGACTTTTCGGAAGAGTTATAGAAAAGAAGAAAAATAACAGAAAGAGAGACACAATAATCGGAAAGCAAGCCTGATTGATCCATCACACACAAAAAAGTCGAGCAGTTTACGAGCAAGTGATTCAAGTACACACAAAAATTCTGACTCGTTGTATAACGGTAACGGCCAGTAACTTTTTCTTACCCGCTGCAATCAAATAAAGGAAACAACTTAAATTTCCTTTTTTGTTTTATTAATAATTTCCTTTTTCTTATAATGAATTATTTTCCTTTTTTTCTTATAATGATGAGTTTCCTTTGATCTTATAAGTAATTTCCCTTTTCCTGATAATTAATGAGTTTCCTTTTTTTTCTTCTTCTTCAAACAAGTAAGAGTTTCCTTTCTATTATATATAAGTGATTTCCTTTTGTTTTAACAAATTATCTTTTTTTCCTTTTTTCTTTTTGTTTTTTGTTTTTCTTGTTGGCAACGTTTCCTTATAAATTACTCAGCACTACAGCAGTTATTCTTTGAGAATTCTTCAAGACTGTAACCTTCTTCGAAACAAAACAAAAAGAACATCAACTGTTAAAATATCTATATATCAAATCGAAGATGTGTAAATGTAATAAACGATTTCTATAATCAGGGACAACAATGGTCTGTCGACTAAATTGTAAAGTCCGTTTGATTTTATCATCGATGACGAGAAAGTTCGATAATTATGTTATTCCATCTATCACGTACAACATTTTTTTGTCGCTTTTTGGTTTGCAATAACACAGTTTATTAAAGTGTAAAATCATATGCAGTTATTGTGAATGAGTGGTTCTTAGAGTCTACTACTAAAAAAGAGAAATGTCAAAATCAATTTATTTTATTCAACTACCACAAGTTTTGCGAACTTTTTTCATCGTTATGTATATAATATATTTGTCAATGGGTGATACTATTCTAGGTTTCCATCTTGTATTGTACATGGTGCAATCGAGAGACATCGAAATTAGGGGAGACGACAACGCATTAGCTCTTTGGCCAAAGCGAAACGCGTCTTATTAGGACATTAAGTAATATGGTCAGGTCCACCCAATGGAGGCATAGTGGCAAATTTTCATACCCTTCGATTCTGCCACGTTATATATTACGATCCGTTCTTTTTTTTTTTTTTTTTTTTTAAACACATAATTCGGCTTTGTCGTTTCACACAAACATAGTATTATCTCCATATTGTATAATTAAGTTAATTGCAATTTATAAAATCTCATAAACAATTCAACAACAAGCACTTTTTAACAATTCTATATAGGTTTCATTTTTGCTAAAATTGGTTTAATATCTGTTAGACTGTTACCGTAATCATATCCTTGATTGGCACCTAAACCAAACAAAACGACAAAACATAAATCTCATAGCTTTAAACAATCACGACAAATAGAATCTATATATCACCAAAGAATACATATCTTATTAATTCTAGTGTCGACTCGACCATATTAAATATCCAGAACAGAAACTCTATTTATTATCATGAACATAAACAAGGTATAGATAGAACAAGAAAGACAAGATTTTCAGAATTATGATAGCTACCTTCTTTTTTCGTGGCCATGCAAAATAGTAACTTCTTTAATTCTTGCGGGTATCGACAAATCCTGCAACTTGTTTAGAAACAAATCTACAAACAAGTTGGTGTTTACTTACATGACCGATTTATCAAATAGGCAACATTCATCGAATAATAGACCCCCACAAAATTTGTAAGATTGCATATAGTATATGAAGTATAAGGAAAATTAAAAGACACAAAGAAATGGAGAATGAGTAAAGTTATAATTCACCGATCGATATTAATAGACCCCTACAAAATTTGGAAGATTTGTAAATATGAAATATATATACACTATACGAGGAAAAAATAAGAAAAGGAAAGAGTGCTCAACGCGTGTGAGCACCACTTGGGGATTGTGTTCTATGAGTTAAGAGAATGTGTTCATGGGTAAAGCAGAGCTAGCCACTCGTGTGGGCACGTTTCTCACGTGCCTAGAATACTTCAGAATGAGAAACTACGCTTTAAAACAAAAGCTGAACGTAACAACTTGGGTCGGAGAGAAGAAGAGAGTAGTTAACTAATTATAGACTTGTCTAAAAATCATATATTCCTCTGTTTTTTCCCCATTAAAAAACCCCCAATAACAAACAAAAAATAGAGAAAAGTTACAAGTTTAGAAAACAATGGAGGATGAAGAAGAGGGAAGAAGAGAGATGACGAGGAAACAAAGTTCAAGGTTTAAGAGCATTTGCGTCTTCTGTGGTAGTAGCAATGGCAAGAAAGCTAGTTATCAAGATGCCGCTATTGATTTGGGCAATGAATTGGTAAATATATATTATTCTTTTATGCATATTTACAATCTTTTTCCCCCTTCTAGTTTTCTTTTTCATATTCTTAAAGTCTTTTTCTCTTCGAAATATAATATGTGTAAAGAACCTTGTCTTTCTATCTATACATAGTTTCGGCAAGAACATCATGCACATGTGGATTCTTAAAAAGACCTTGTTTCACAATACTAATGTTAATCTGATGAACAGGTGGCGAGGAAGATTGATCTTGTTTATGGTGGAGGAAGCATAGGTTTAATGGGTTTAGTGTCTCAAGCTGTTCATGAAGGTGGTCGTCATGTTATTGGGTAACTAATAATTATCTTTTCGTTTTTCGTTGAGTTATTATATAGACACAGAGTTGTATGGTTTCTAATGATCTTGTTATGATGCAGAGTCATCCCCAAGCTACTCAAGTTGCAAGAGGTATATATTAATTGGATTTTTTCCATTATGTTCAATGGGTCTGGTGTGGTGTCTGGAAGTAAATACCATAATGTAATGCTCTTTGCCTTTATCTGTCAATGTCTCACAAACAAAACACTAAAGCTTACTGGAGAAACAGTAGGAGAAGTGAGAGAAGTTGCAGACATGCACCAGAGAAAAGCTGAGATGGCTAAGCATTCTGATGCTTTCATTGCTTTGCCTGGTAACTTACTCTCTCTCTCTCTCTGTTATGTTTATTACAAACAATTAATAACCTCACAGATGCATTAAAAACTTATGGAAACTTCATAGTTAATTATGATAACTCATTAGTCAAAACTTTGCCACTACATTTAGAGCTCCCTAGCTTATGTATGAAACTATGAATGATGCTGAAATAAATATCCTAAAGTTAGATGTGTTTTAGTGTTTTTTTTTTGTTAGTGCTTTTTCCTTCTTTTTTTAAAAGAAATTATTGTCATTATATGGAGCTTTAAAGAGTGCGTTTAATAAGTAATAACATGTGGTTGATGTGTGGGAGAGATCCCAGGAGTCAAAGAATTACAATAATCACGACAAATAGTTTTATAAAAAAATAATTAAAGTGAAAGTTTTTTTTTTTAAAGTGCTTGATCCATCAACATCTAAAAGCAGTGAAAAAAATAGATGTCGACAAAGGACGTCTGTTTCTCATATCCAATTTAAGATATTTTTTTTTTATGTTGTCAAGTTCTATCTTAAACTTTATATATTTTGGAACAAACATTGCAAGATCATATTATCGTTGCAAAATAGTTTTGTTTATCTTTTTCGGGTAATGCAAATATTGTGATTCATCATCATGAATTCATGATGATGAGTGCACTAACGTTTTGACCTTTGACTTAAAAAGTACCAATTAAAGAGAATAGAAGGACTTATCACATGTTGACTTTTCTTTGAGAGGTCATAAATAAAAGTGAATTATTTTTTACGAAATCATGACTAAGTCAACGAGTCTTCGCTATCGAATCAGGTGGCTATGGTACACTAGAGGAGCTACTTGAAGTGATAACTTGGGCACAACTTGGTATACATGATAAACCGGTATGTATGTAAACCGGTTTGGCCTGGTATACATGTGAATTTGATGATTAAAAGACAAGTGTTCCAACCGTGCAGGTCGGTTTATTAAACGTTGATGGATATTACAATGCTTTGCTATCATTCATCGACAAAGCTGTCGAAGAAGGGTTTATTCTTCCAACCGCTCGACATATTATTGTATCCGCACCCACCGCAAAAGACTTGTTCCAGAAATTAGAGGTAATATTAAACCCCATAGAAGATGATACTACTGAGTACTAACTCTAACCCTATATCAGATCATATATGTCGATCAATGTGGTTTAATTTGGTAACCAAATATTAATTAATGATGCAAGGGGTTTTTTTTTTTTTTGGTCTTAAAATTTTTTTTAGACTAGACTGAGTTCTTGTTTAGTATCATTTGATTGGTTTAATGCAGGAATATGTGCCTCAACACAAGTAGTCATAACACATGCCATATATCGAAACTGAGCTCCGAGACGAATCATACCAAACAAATTTCGTAGATGGACGAGTAAAGATTTGATCACCTCATAGACAATCTAAAAGTCGGATTCTATTGGGAAGTACAAATTGTAACTTTTTATTTCTGGATTATTTTTTTAGCATGGTATCAGAAATTTCGGTTAATGTGTTGTGATATATAAACTAGTGGTGCATTTCACTAATATTTTAAAGTAAATGTTATAATTATCTTTTCTTGTTGGGTCAAAACTGAAAAACAAGAGATATATAGAACTTCTAGGGTTTCTTGGTTCAATGGATTTGTGTTTAAGGAGCTATTTTGGAGTACTGATTAATCTTATGTATAGAAAAACCATTGCCTGAAAAACTTATAGAAATTAATGTAACATATTACCCCAGCAAAATTTATTATTCGTTGGGCCTACGTACTTAAAAAACACTACTATTCATTGCACACAACACTTGGTTGTTGAAAGATACAATTTTCTTGGTAGATATCAATTTTTTTATTATTAGTATGGACTTATGGTATTGCATTGAATAATTCTGAATGTTTAAGATCGATCATATCGATTCAACTTAGCTTACAAATAAAGAATGATCTGAGCTAACGACTTCTCATCTCAAATCATGAAGCCAGAAGCAATCATTAATTACAAATATTAAATCATATAACATAATCTTGAATTGTTTAGGTTACAATAACATCCATATGTCTCCTCCTAAAACAGCCCCGATTCGATCTTATTCTTCTGGTCTCCACGTAATAACTTACATACTAAAAATTAACAAAGAAATATAAAAATAAAGCCACTTGATTAACCGAAAACATTTGTTGAGTCGAACCAATTAAATATAAACTTAATTAACGACGAGTCTGACTTGTAACTGACGTCTCTTGTTTCGAGGTTAGGATCAAAATCTCCAAATTCGTATGAACCCACCCACACCATGTGTTTTAAGCCCAAGAGAAGAGATTCAGTGAACCAAGAAGGAAAAATTGATTTAATTTTAAACTGTGTCCCTTACACTAATGAAAGGTTATGTTTACAAAATCCAGTTTATTAATAGATTAATACAGTAGTAATAAATAAAATTATGTGGACACAAAGCCCAAAAGATCACAATCTAGTTTTAAAAGAGCGACAAGAAAGATTCTTTAAGCTGATGAATGATCTGTACCATGTAGCTTTGTTCCCTTTTTTGGTGTTTAACTCTTTTACTTAACTGCCCTAATTACATGATCAACGAGAGAGAGAGACCTAATAAACACTTCCTCATCACCAAAATAAATAACCCAAATTGATTCATTGGTCAAAATTTTGTGTATTTTTATAGAATTGATATAATTATACATTCCATGTTACGAATTGTGACTTTGAAATTTTGTTTGGTCATCAATTCATCATCGGTACGGATGAAATATTTGTATGTTTTAAAAGTATACAAGCCATGTATTGTATTATTAGTAGATATCTATTTATAGTATTATAAAAAAACAAGTGTGGTCTCTTATGTTATGGTTCATTGAACATATACATGAAACATAGGACTGGGGAGGAGCCCATGTTCCTTTCATTGATGCAAAATTTTAGTTTCATATGTTTTAATTTTGCTTCCTATCCAATGTGCATATATAGATATAGTTTCACATATGGATAATGATGAGTAAGGTTAAGTATATAGTGACAAGTTTAAAATAAGAAAGCCGAATAGGAGAAGAAAATAGTAAGGTACAATGTATGGTTATCGAAACCCCCAAGCTGTGTACTTCCATTGATGTAGGAGATGATTGGGAACACGTGGATTTTATTTGACTAAAGAATATTAGAAAAAATTTCAATTTTTTTTTTTTGGTTTTCGGATTGATTTGTGAATTTGGTTAGTTCGGTTTAGGAGGGTTTGATGAAACATAACCATACTAGTAGGTAAAGTGACAAATGTTGATACTACATGAAATTTAGATATGATAACAAGATTTTTTCTTTTAGAACACCTTTCATATGTAAACTAGTTTTACTGTCATATTTTATGATGATTTAAGCTGATCAAGTTCTTAAGTTTCGGAGATTAAAAGGGTACATAAGAAAACAAAATCCTTGAGTTATTATTATTTTTCGACAAATATTTATTCTGTGCAATTAATAATGATGTCTACACAAAGACAGCAAAAATAGATAAATAAGTTGCCATATAAAGACATAATATTTATAGCATTCTGTGGAGTATAATGTCCAATCCTGTTTTATTTTTCCGATTTCTTAGGGCATCCTCGTTGGGGGTATCTTATGAGGCTAAGATACCCCCACTTTTTCAAAGAAAATATGTTATATAAGGATTTTCTTTGGAAAAGTGGGGGTATCTTAGCCTCCTAAGATACCCCCAATGAGGATGGTCTTACATCTACATATATGTATATTTATATGGATGGTTCTAACGCCATCATTTATTTGATTTTTCCATTTTTTTATTAGTCAACAACTTCACCTTTTGATAACGCCTAAATTGTATCAGCTACTTTAGTTTAGTTTCTCCTCAAATAACGTCATTTTCAGAGCAAGTTTTGGGCTTCTCTTTTCATTTATATGCACAATGGGAAATTAAAAATATAAAATATAACATGTTTCATGTAATTTACATTCAAAACTCATGTGTTTCTGTTAGTTTCTTTTAACAAAAATATTCTTTTTATACTAACATTGGTATATCACTTTTAAAAAACAGTACATTCCTATGGATGGTCTCTTATATAAGATAACCAAATTTAAATTTATATTTGATTTTGTATTCTAGAAGAAAATTGACTTCGCTATGACGATGTATATGCAATAGCTTTATATTATTTAAGTGTTTTTTGAATACGAGAAGATCGTGTAAACCTTTTTTGCGTGATTAAAATTTTTCAACTAATCTTACGAACACTTGTAGTCTTTTCCCAGTTAGAGGATTCGATTCTCATCTTTATTTTGTAACGTTTGTTTTGATTTTTAAATATAAGTAACGTTCTTTTTGAATTTTTAAATATGAGTAACGTTTGTTTTATTTTAATATATAAAAGAAATATCACTAAAATTTTACATTATCGTAAATTATAAGAAATGTTAATATGTAGTACACAAAGAGAGTAAATTTCCCTCACATTTCACAAAATCAAATTCTTATTCCTTTAGTTGCTAAAACTAAAAAGACATTTCATGTTAATAAACAAGTAGTATTATATCAAGGCATATTTCTAAAAAGAAAACTTTATATTCATTTTTGCGATGGGCCTCAGGACAAAATAATTTGATTTCTCAATAGATAAATAAAAGTGTACTATATAATTGCAATGAGGTGAAAGATGGGTTCAGAATTTTCAAATAAAATAAATAAATAATAATGCTCTTCTTGTCCACTTATCTTGGAATCAAAACCTACGATTAGTTTAAGATAAGTGTATATTAGTAATAAAGAGTTTGGGTTTAAACCTGAAAATAATTTAATTAAAAAGACGTTTTTTCAGCTAAATATAAGAAAAAAGGAATATTAGCTTTTTTTATTTATAACATTTATATTTTTTTTACATCTCTTTTGAAGGTGGCACGAGCACCCATAACCTTTCAGAACCTATAGATACAGATAATGTGTACGTATATATGTAAATTATATATATAAATTATATAATTGATTTTTTGGATCTTCTTTTATCTCTCTCTTTCTTTCTCCTTTGGATGGAACTGAGCTCTTCTTCTTTCTCTCTTTCCTCTCTCTTCTTCTTCTTCTTCTCTCTCTATCTATCTCTATCTATCTCTCGTGGCTTGATAAGAAAGAGTTTTCTCTCTTGAAGATCCGTTTCTAGACCCTCTCACTTGTTACTGATTAGTTCAATATTTGCGATCATGGCGATTTCACAGGTCACCATCTCCAAAAACCCTAATTCTCTGTTTCTGCTTGAGTTTTTTATTTGGTTGGGGGCTTTGTTGTACGGACTTCCATGGGAGTTTTTTTTTAAAAGCTTATGTCTAGTATTTTGTGCAAATGAGAGTTTTTTTTTTTATTATCTTACTTGCACAGCTTCTGTTCGTTTTCAGCTTTTTATAATGATCGAATTCGAGTTTCAGCTTAGATCTTTCTCTTTCTCCGAATCTGTTTTCGAAGACGTTCATGTTTTCTCTCATCTAGGTTTCTGGGTTTTGTTTTAATTTGGAGATTTTAGTTTTTTTTTCCTTTTCTTACTGTACTTGTTTGTGGTTGACCTTTTTTTTTTTTTTTCTTTCTCTCTTGAAGATCTGAATGCGTAGATCATACGGGATCTTTGCATTTTTGTTGCTTTTCTTCAGCGTTACGATTCTTTTAACTTCGATTAAGTTGGAATTTGTATCTTTTTTTAGCTTATCTCTAAGATCGATTTATTGATTTTTTTTTTCTGAGTATTTTGTTTTTTTTTTCACCATAATTTTTTCTCAGGTTTGAAGATAAATCCGTATTGGTTAAAGCATATGGAAGTGTGTGTTCTGTTCTTGGTTGCTCTGATAGGGCTTCCTCCTTTTCACCCAACTTAGTTGATGTTATAAGATCTCTCCTTGAAGCTGCAGTAACGTCTGGTCCTTTGAACTTTTTAACTTAAGAAGCTTCATTTGGTGTTACTTGAGGCAATTTCAGCTAGTAGGTAAAGACTGTACAGACCTGTAAAACAAGATAACGATAGAGTGGCTCTATTTGCCTCAGTGTTAGTTACTGTTTGCGCGTTGGAAGGAATCAAATTTTAGCAACGGAAGGTGTTTTGGATCGAGTCTGTCAAGTCTACTCGGCTGAGGCTTTTTTTTAAGTGAAGTACGATTGGATCTGTAGAGTTGACCTTATATAATCAGATAGATTTAGGATGGAAGCTGAAATTGTGAATGTGAGACCTCAGCTAGGGTTCATCCAGAGAATGGTTCCTCCGCTACTGCCAGTTCTTTTGGTTTCTGTTGGATATATTGATCCTGGAAAATGGGTTGCAAATATCGAAGGAGGTGCTCGTTTTGGGTATGATTTAGTGGCTATTACTCTGCTCTTCAGTTTCGCCGCTATCTTGTGCCAATACATAGCAGCTCGAATCAGCGTTGTAACTGGTAAACATTTAGCTCAGGTATTTTTCCCCCTTTCTCTGTTTTTTTTTCCTGATCCTGAATTGTCACTTTTTCATAGTTGCCAATTGTATTC